GCAGATATTTTTGTCATTGAATAAATATCATGTCATCCAGATTTTGCTAAATGTCATTGCCTGTTGATGAGATACTACTGACCTTTCACATGCTCAGACCTTGGATAAGGAATAGATTGGGACTACAAGAAAACGATGGCGGTGTCTTGAAACTCACAAAGGTAGTTGAATATCTGGGTAGTGTGAAAGAATGCTGCAACTTGTAACAGTCCTAATTGCATTCAGTTATAACCTTTCTGACCTGCAAGCCTCTTAATAGCACTGAATAGACAAATGTCAGACAAATTAATTGTATGTAACATAGAAAAATTATTCTTATTTCCAGTTGACTTATATATTATAATAATTACATCCCTAACAAGCAGCTCAATATATTCAACTATGTTCAGCTATGTCAAACAAGTGGGGCAGATTGCCCAAAATTCCTCCTTAGCCATGGTGTGGGGGGATCTTTTTACAATATTTACCTCTTTTCCCTTACAGTTTGCTGTGCTTCACCCTGGATCCCTACACACCAGCATGCCCTCCTCTTGCATGCCACCCTCCTCCCAGGTAAATGCAGATTTCCCTTCATTGGCTCCTTCCCACACCAGCCTTCCAGTCCATCCCTCAGTCCTGGGGCTTTTGGGGCCTCCTGATTCCCTGGCATAGGCTTTGCTGCTTGCTGGTTGCCCAGAACTGTCTCACACCTCTATGCTTCTGCCTCCTGACAACCTCCTGTCAGCTCTCCATCTCCATTTGATGATGCAGGCAGGAGGGATGGCCGACCCCTCCATCAGCAGTAGTCCATCTCTTCCAACCTGACTGTGTTTGCTTCCACCGAGGCCATTTGGAATGCCTTGCAACTGTTCAGGCCATGCAGGGCTGCCCAGCCATCCACAGCTGGTAGTTAGACATAAACTACATACACTACCTTCAAAAAGGGGAGTTCCCAGTCTAGTTATCACACGATCTAGCTAAAAGCCTTATATAAATCCATCCCCCTTGAGATTTTTAATGCCATCCTTGTCACCATTTATCACAACACTCAGAGGAAAGGGTATCCATAGGATCCCCACTTTGCTGTATTTCTTTTGGGTAGCAAAAACCACTGATGTTTTTGTATATATCAGCTTACGTAAAATATATATATGCAAAGTCTACTAAAAGGCTCCTTTCCCAGCAAAAATACCTGTATTCTTGACTAGAGAGAGATGACCAAACTGAACTGGAAGGCAGACAAAACTACAAATCCCACAATACCCAATATGAAATGATACCCTTGAGCATATTCAAGAGCATCAATTCAAGTTAAAGAACATAAGAGAAGCCAATGCTGGATCAGGCCAATGGCCCATCTAGTCCAACACTCTGTCACACAGTAGCCAACAATACCAGGTAACATCAGGAGGTCCACCAGTGGGGCCAGGACACTAGAAGCCCTCCCACTGTTGCCCTCCAACACCAAGAATACAGTGCATCACTTGCCCCAGACTGAGGATTCCTATCTATACCTTGTGGCCAATAGCCACTGATGGACCTCTGCTCCATATATTTATCCAATTCCCTCTTGAAGCCATCCATGCTTGTAGCTGCCACCACCTCCTGTGGCAGTGAATTCCATGTGCTAATAACTCTTTGGGTAAAAAAGTACTTCCTGTTAACCATTCTAACCTGACTGCTGTATCCCATACATAATCTTGTAAACCTTTATCATGTCACCCCTCAGTTTGGTGTTGTGGTTAAGTGTGAGGACTCTAATCTGGTCTGGGAGAACCAGGTCTGATTCCCCACTCCTCCACTTGCAGCTGCTGGATGACCTTGGGCAAGCCATAGTTCTGTCAGAGCTGTTCTCTCAAGAACAGTTCTCTCTGAGCTCTCTCAGCCCCACCTACCTCACAGGGTGTTTGTTGTGTGGAGGGGAAGGGAAAGGAGTTTGTAAGCCCCTCTGAGACTCCAAGAATCCAATTTCCTCCTCCTCCTGTCATTGTTCCTCCAAGCTAAAGAGTCCCCAGGGAAAGTGTTCCAACCCTTTTGTCGTTCTAGTTGCCCTTTTCTGCACTTTTTCCAATGCTATAATATCCTTTCTGAGGTGTGGTGACCAGAATTGCACACAGTATTCCAAATGAGGTCACACCATCAATTTATACAGGGGCATTATGATACTGGCTGATTTGTTTTCAGTTCCCGTCCTTATAATCCCCAGCATAGTGTTGGCCTTTTTTATTGCAGCCACAAACGGTCTTGACATTTTCAGTGAGTTATCTACTATGACTTCAAAATCTCTCTCTTGGTCAGTCTCCGCCAGTTCAGACCCCATCAACATGTATTTATAGTTAGGATTTTTGGCCCCAATGTGTATCACTTTGCATTTGGTCACATTGAACCTCATTTGCCAAGCTGACGCCCATCCTCAACAGATCCTTTTGGAGTGCCTCATAATCCTTCTTGGTTCTCACCACCCTGATCAATTTAGTGTCATCCACAAATTTAGCCACTTCACTGCTTACTCCCAACTCCAAATCATTAATGAACAAGTTTAAAAGTATTGGATCCAGTACTGAGCCCTGCGGTACCCCACTGCTTACCACCCTCCACTATGAAAATTGCCCATTTATACTCACTCTGCTTCCTATTAATTAGCCAGTTTTTGATCCACAAGAGGATTTGTCCTTTTATTCCATGACTATTGAGCTTACTTAGGAGCCTTTAATAAGAAACTCAAAAGCTTTCTGGAAGTCAAGCTAAACAACATCGATTGGGTCCCCCTTGTCCACATGTTTGTTCGCCTCCTCAAAGAACACTAACAGGTTAGTGAGAAAAGATCTTCCCTTACAGAACCCATGCTGAGCCTGCCTCAATAGTTTTTGTTCATCAATGTACCTACTAATTCTTTCAGGACTCTTGGATGTATGACATCCAGGCCTGGTGATTTATCAGTTTTTAAGTTGTCTATCAGTCATAGGACCTCTTTTCTTGTCAACTCAATCTGACTCAGGTTTTTCAACACCCCTCCTGAAATAAGTGGTTCTGGAGTGGACAAGCACTTCTCATCTTCCACAGTGAAAAGAGAGGCAAAAAATGCATTCAGCTTCTCAGCCATTTCCCTATCATCCTTCAGTAATTTTTATTCTTGGTCTTTATATTTTTTGCAATGTGTTCTTCATAATCCCTTTTGCCAGTCTAATCATTGACTTTCATTTTATTTGCCAAAGCCTGAGCTCCCTTTTATTTACCTCACTTGGACTAGCCTTCCACCGCTTAAAGGAATCCTTCTTACCTTTTACAGCTAGTATTTTTTTTTAACCATGCAGGACTTTTTCTATACCTATTTGTGCCTTTCCTAACCTGCAGTATATATTTTATCTGAGCTTCTAGGATTGTAGTTTTAAATAGTCCCCAAGCTTCCCCAATGGTTTTGACCCTTTTTATTTTTCCTTTCAGTTTCCTCTTCACATGAAGTAGAAGAAGATATTGGATTTATACCCTGTCCTTCACTCAGAGTCTCAGAGCAGCTTACAGACTCCATTCCCTTCTCCTCCCCACAACAGACACCCTGTAAGGTAGGTTGGGGCTGAGAGAGCTCTTTCAAGAACCACTCTTTCAAGAACATCTTGCCCAAGGTCTTCCAGCATCTGCAAGTGGAGGAGTAGAGAATCAAACCCGGTTCTCCCAAATTAGAGTCCGCACACTAAACCACTTCACCAAATTGGCTGAAAAGATGTGAGGTCTCCTCATTGCCAGTAATGACTTTCCCTTTCTCAAAGATTTCTGACTTCAGGACACTGGCAGGAAGTCCAATTAGCAGTCGCTTAGAAGGTAAACTCTACAAACTGGTCACAAGTTTGGAGGGCTCTACAGATGGTGTAACAGGAAAAGGTTTCCTATACTGAATTCATTCCTTCCATTAATCTATATGCATCCTCTCTTGGAAATAATTTTGCAAAGAAAGTTCTATCACTTCTGTTATGCAACATGCTCCTCTTCAGATGAGATAATCCACAGCTTGATGTGCACTCTTCCCATTCTCTTGGCAAAGCAAATATTCATAATGTGCATTGTTCAGTACGAAATTATTTTTTCTCCATGAACTATCTCTATGCTGTTTATGTTACTGCCAAAATAATGCTATGTCATGGATAAATGGGTGTGAAAGTTGGGCAATGAAGAAAGCTGACAGGAAGAAAATTGATTCTTTTGAAATGTGGTGTTGGAAGAGATACTGCGGACCACCAAAAAACAAATAAGAGGGTTCTATATCAAATCAAGCCTGAATTCTCCCTAGATGCTGAAATGACTAAACTGAGGCCGTCGTACTTTGGTCACATTATGAGAAGACGTCACTGGAAAAGAGTATAATACTAGGACAAGTTGGAGGCCGCAAGAAAGGAAGAAGACCCAATATGAGATGAAATTGACTCAGTACAGGAAGCCAGGGCCCTTAGTTTGCAAGACCTGAGCAAGGCTATTAACTATAGGAAGTTTTGGAGATCATTAATTCATAGGGTTGCCATAAGTCAGAAGTTACTTGATGGCACTTAACACACACACACACACACACACACACACACACACACACAGGTGTAAGATAGTTAATAGATGCACAACAGCATGTGAATGAAAACTCCATCTAACATTTGGAAATAAGAATCTCCTGATACAGAAATGTCATAGGAAACTCTACCTTTAAATTTGAAAGGAAGGGAGAATAGAAGTCAATGGGACTCGTGCTTTTACAGACTCAGGTGTTTAAATCTCCATCTTTATAAAGCCCTGAAGGCATGTCAGTATCAATCACACCGTCTCAGCAACACATGTGGTGCTCTTTGACTGGATTCCTGTTATGTTCAAAGAGTTATACAGCAATTTTCTACTAGGCTTTGAAAAATGTATATTTAAACCTTTCACATCTGCGTGTGGCCATGAGGTGGGGTTGGCACAAATTCTCACTTCTTTTGTGATTGAAGACTTGATTTAATAATGAGAAATATGGATTCCAAATTTCATTTGCTAAGCATTACCTTTGTCTTTTGATGCCCCATGATGCTTTGCTTCTTTTTCTTTAGTATGTTCTGCAGAGGAATACAGCACAGTTTTGTCATTTTTCAGACAACACACACATACACACAAGCAAAAAGTACCCCACAAAGTCAGTCACAGGCCAGCCAATGCATGTGAGCACACTGAATTATATTTTAGGGATTTTAAAGAACATTTCAGGAAGGTTAGTAAAACAAGCAGTATATCTGATACACAGATTTTCATGTCTGGCATTCACCACACATTTCAATGGAACTTGCTTCCAAATGAGTGTTAAAGCCTTCATATTGTTTCCATTTGAGTAATTGTGGTTATAATGTATTTTCTACATTAATTCATGTTGCTTTACCTTTATTCTTATCTTTTTGGGTACCAGGAGGTCTCACTTCTTTTTCTTTTCCATGCCCTGCAAAGCAAAAGTTATTGTGAAGGCATGTTTCTGAAACCTAGAGGCTAGAAATTACATATTGTAAAAGTTGTCTGGGTTTAGAGAAAGTCACATAAGGCTGTAGAAAAGGGCAAGAGTGCAGTAGCACCGTAAAGAATAACAAAATTTGTGGCAGCATATGAGCTCATACCCTGCCATAATTTTTGTTAGTCCTCAAGGTGCTACTGCAATCTTGCTCATTTCTGTTGCTACAGACTAACATGTCTACCCATCTGGAACTGTCACATAAGGTTGGTTCATTATAAAGCCTTGTATCTATCTATCTATCTATCTATCTGTCTGTCTGTCTGTCCGTCCGTCCGTATGTCTGTTTTATTTTATTTATACCCGCCCTCCCTGCTGAGGCAGGCTCAGGGCAGCTTACATGAGAAGTGAATACATAATATTTATGCTAAATATATAAATACATAATATTTCTGCAATATTTCTGCTTCCTCTCTTTCAGAGTTCAGTTGAAATCTATCACAACAAAACCACATTTCTTCTTCCATTTCACCTCTGGAGAATGAACTGTAATCATGAGCAACAAGGCTGCGGTATAATATACAAGTCTGAGAGAGTAGCTTGGGCATGTGCATAGTGAGACAGATCCGAATGGAGACCACATTGGACACCCCATGTCCAGAGGCACATTGCTGTATAGATGTGGACCTCAGTGGGCAACCAGAATGAAACATAATACAAATATCAAAAAAAAAATCAAAGTTCAAAGGGAGATCATTACAAATATTTTAAAGGGGCACACTTCAAGCTAATTAACCAGCGTTGTCATAAGAGTGACCATTCCACATTTCTTCTTCCATTTCACCTCTGGGGAATGAACTGTAATCATGAGCAACAAGGCTGCGGTATAATATACAAGTCTGAGAAAGTAGCTTGGGCATGTGCATAGTGAGACAGATCTGAATGGAGACCACATTGGACACCCCATGTCCAGAGGCACATTGCTGTATAGATGTGGACCTCAGTGGGCAACCAGAGTGAAACATAATACAAATATCAAAAAAATCCAAAGTTAAAAGAGAGATCATTACAAATAATTTTAAATGGACACACTTCAAGCTAATTAACCAGCATTGTCATAAGAGTGACCATTGTACTAGCACTGAGGTTGTGTATTCCATTCTATGCTGTGCTGTTGCAGAAATAAAAACTGAAACCAAAAAAGCATTACTAAAAATAGTAAAGAAAAATAATTAAAAAACCCGACAGTCCAACATATAATGAAACATGTTTTGAGTTGATTATTTTCAACAATCTTAAATGCACCTATGGCGGAAGATTGTCCATATGGATTACACTGCAGAAACCAGCATTAAATTATTATTTACTCAGTTCTCCTCCTTGACTGAAAAGTGCACAGTTCATACACACTGTACTGGGTATTCACTTTAAATACACATACTTGAATTAGGTCTGATTTCAACTAAGTCTACTTCAGAGTAAGGGTGTTTTTGTTCAGAGTGTTACTGCTTTTCCTTCTCTCATCGTGACTCATAATATTTAAGAGGAGTTTGCTAATTACTTCTGGTAATGGCGGTATTTAAAATCATGCAATGTTAAATATATTGATTCAGAACCTTGCTTATAAGCACCCAAAGGAAATGTGCAAACACATTACCAAGAAGAGCTTTAAGGCAATATCTCAAAAGAAGTCATACTGATTATTTGATTGGAAGAGATCAAACACTTCTGGAGTCTATGTTGGCAGGGGATAACCAAAAGCTGACTAGAATAGTTGCCAAATTTGGTTGGTTGGCATACCAAACTAGGAAAGAAATAAAGTACAGATAGGCCTAAATCTAATTTCTGATCTTAATATTGATTTTATCATGTCTGTATTTTAAAATTTTTAGCTCTTATTTATAATTTTAGATCCTATAATATTTTAGAATTTTATTGCTTCCTTATCTGTACTTATTTGTTATCTATTATACTGGTCTATGACTGTAATAAAGGCTTTGATTTTTTGATTTTGGAGTCTGACTCATTATTGATGTGGCCTTAAATCCCAAGTGACCTGATGAGCCAGAAAATTGTTCAGGAAAAGTTTCAGAGGAAAATGTAATCTTCAGTAGTATTTGTGATGGTGTGACATATCGAATACTGAACATGCCCCCTGCGTGCGGATACTTCTTTCCGCACATTGGGGGCACCTGGGGGGGGAGGGAGATGTTTGTGCACACTTGGGGCAGTCCCCAGGTGTGCACAAAAATCTAAAAACCCGGAAAAAATATCGGGGGGATGCTTATACTAGGCCTTCGCCTAGAGTGCGAGCCGGCCATTGGGGTGCAGGAGGAGAGGTAGGGGCGGCCACCGAGCCCGGCAGCCTCTCGTCCACGGCCGAATCAGCGCCCCCGAGCCGGAAATCCCGCATGTTAAACGCGGGAATTCCCAGCGGATGCTGGCCGCCCTGCGAGGCGACGCGAGGTGAGCCGGGGGGGAGGCAAGCCGGGGGGATGCGACGCGCCCAGGAGGCAAGCTGGGGAGGCAGGGCGAGGCGAGGGGGGAGACGAGCGGG